GTAATCGTTGTACGAACAACCTGTCCGTGTTGAAATCGAGCTTTTTTTTATATCAGAGTTTATATTTTGTTTTGTGGTTGGAATTACAGGCGGTTCTATAAAGTTCGAAAAGGCAAAGCTGAGTTCTGGGAGACGTAACACGGATACAGGAGAAGGAAATCTTTGTCATTAATCAAGCCTATTTCGTATGAAAGTAGAATAATCTCTGGTTTCCTTGAAAGTAGTCATTTTTGTAAAGACAGGTAGAGACTGCACATACCGTTGCTGTAGAGCAAAATCTTAATCAGTTGAGTTTGGCGGGTAAAACACCGTTGTCAGCCTAGTCCCTCACGGCCAAAGTAGCCGTAGTAGCCTCTCGCCGTAGCGTATTTTAAAGTCCCTAATATGATCCGCATGGCATCACAATATAGAATGCAAGTAATCAACATTGATGCTCACCGACTTTGTCCCTCCAGAGCGCATGATTAAAGAGATACATTTCTGCAATAAACTTACATTTCTACAATAGAAAGGAGGCAAGACAAACCACACTACTCGGCACATGGCTTAAAGCAACCAATCAGCAAAAACCGTTCGTCAGGCGAACGGTTGGAAGAGCATAAACAATGGTGTCACTACTGGCGGATTTTTCTCGCCTCGCGCTCGTGTATCGCGTCAGAGCCGCTAATCCGCCTGTACTGCAGGCTAGCGGCTGCTTCAAGCATTTGCACCAGGCACTTTTCGTTCACATGGTAAATGCGAAGACAGTCTTCCTCGTGAAATGTTACTCATTGTGTTCTTGACTGCAGCAAATGTATTTTCAACAAAGGTTGAAAGAAGTCTTAACAATAAAACCCTTCAACAAAGCGAGTACTCAGAATTTCAGACAAACGAAACTGCGAATTGCAGCGAACGACGAAGGCGAAATGAGACCGCTGACTTTGTTGTGATACTTCATGTACCTCATTTCGAGGTAAAAGAAGTCAAATGATACCGCGATGTTATAAGTACTGTACTTATGGAAATGTAAAAGCATACTGGCGGTACCATTTTGTAAAACTCTGAAAGCAACTAATTTTACAAAGTTTTTCAACACTAACCCTTGTTAACAACTGTACAGTGGCCTTCAACAAAATCAGTTATGGGTGCAAAAAATGCACCAGAATACACTTCAAGGCACCCTTATTTTCAAAATTTTCTGGGGGAAGCACCCCATTCCCCTGTGGAGAAGGGGGACGGTGCTCGACTCCAGCACCCTACCCCACAAGAACGCAGTTATCGTGACGAGATAGTGCTCCGGCTACTTTACAATTTCCTCCTGCTACTTTTTTTCAATTTGAAAAACCCTGTCAAAATACCCTTAATTTTAGCTCTAAGCGCTTATAACTCAAACACGAGCTCAGTGACCCCCATTTTTTATTATGAAATTGTAATCAGCATGAAAAGATGCAACTTTTTGCAAAGTTTAAAAAAAATTCTGTGAAGGGGGTTCAGAGCCATCTTAAATTTTTGAAAATTTAAGGTGGCTCTATGATCTGAACCCCATTCAAAGAAAAACAAAACTGTCAAAACTTTCTTGAAGTCAAAACATAGCTTCAGGACACATTTGGCATTATTTTTGAAGCAATTTCATCAAGACTGCGTTTATCTAGCCTCTGTAGCAAGACTTCCTGTACGAGCGGAACGAAATCTGGGTTTTTCGCATTTAGGCTGCCGAAAAATTGGGCTACAGCAAAAAGGTCGAAGGAGGGGGCGAGGGAAAGTTTTTCCATCCCGCTTCTTTGACCTTTTTGCTCTCGCCACACTTTTCACGTGGCTTGCTTGAATTGCTCCTGCCCCATTTTTCGCATGGGCGGAATGCGAAAACGCTCTTTCGCGTGGCCCGATTTCCTTGTATGGGAACGCATGCTATCCAGGCTAGTGTTTATCTGTTAAGTCCATCTACGAGTATTATGTAAGAAATATCATGGTTTGAAATGTTTTTGGCAATTTCCTCAAAATCAAACACACAAAATCTCTTATTTTTGTACAATCCACTTGCCATACAGCATTGGTGTAAGATATTGAACAGGAAATCCACATTCTTTCATCTGTTGAGCTCTGCAATGTACTACTTTACAGTTCTAAGCTATTTAAAATAAACTTACCAACAAAGAATGCATCCCTGATTCTTTGAACATCTGTTTTCACTGTCAACAGGTGACCTTTGGATATACTCATTGTTTGAAACCTGGAAAGCAAATCTTGTCCAGCTGCAAAACAAAGACAGTAGAATGTAATTAAGAAACATAAAATGTAATTTACAATACCAGTAACTTAAAAAGGATTTTCTGACATAACATAAAGAAAATTCCTCGCACAACACAAAATAATATACCATGAGATTTAATATGTTCTGAGGAGAGGAATAAAATTTTGTACAAAGTACAAAACAAAAATACTAGGCGAAGATGAAGGTTTGGTCTGGACTATATTTATAGCTCTGTTTTAACAGTTTTCTTTTCTGGTCACCTGCACCTCTACTTCTTACAGCTGACAGAATTTTTCAGTTAATCTACTCATTTGTGTGCTATTCTTAATTCCTGAGTAATTAGTGATCTAAAATAATAGTTTACTCTGGTTAATAAAATATCCAACAATGAGAGATCTCTTGCAGATATTAACTCTCAGTGTTATAGAGAGAATGGATGCCTATGTCATGCCCTGTAAATAGTCTAACTTCTAAATCACCTTAAGCTTAAAAATTCAAATTAGCTCGCAACATTTTCAACTAATTTTCAAGTGATATCCTTTTTGGCAATTTCAGAACTTTTCTTGCAGTCTGTTGATGAAATGTCGATCATAAGGAAATTTTTTCGCTATCCTTGACTACACAAGGTGTTATTTCATTTCAAAAGGAGAAAAATAAAACTGAACTTGTCCAAACTCAAACGAAACTTAACAACTTGCTTGGGTAAATGTGAAAATGTTTGGTAAGAGATCAAATCAATAAAATCGCGGGTCTATGGAGCCATCTTTTCCTTGTTGCCGGCACTGGGGACAAGAATGGGCATCAAAGAAGGACTTCAACTGCTCTCATTCACATGCTCTGGAGATCATCTCGTTTGACTTCACTAGTTCACAGGCTTTGAAATTCCGTCAAGTGATTGAAACATTCAAACCTTTAGCGCTCAGAAAGACAAAATCAAGTCTTATCTAAAAAAATTGGAAGGGGAAAGGGTTGTGAGGATTTTAAGTTTTGCACTAATTTATATGATGATAAGTAACAGCATTCATCTTTATACCTTTGCTATCACTCTGCAAGCCCTCTCTAGATAGCATCCTCTGTTTCCACTCTTCAAAATCAAGACGATGAGGACTTTGTTGTCCATCTTCGCCTTGTAGTAACTTGAAGCTCTTTGGGCTCTTAGCAAAGACTCCACCTGACTTTCTCATTCCTGCCACATAAATCGCTACAATGGCATTAGCTTCACAGCCTCTCACAGCAAAAAACTTCAGGTCCCAATGGACGCCCCTTACAGGTTCTAAACCCCAGCACATTTTTTTAATAACGTTCTTCTGCAGGTTTCTCTCGATGCCATCTTTTCCATTTTCTCTCAGATCTCGGCCACAAACTTCTCCATCATCTTTAACACCCAACAAGATCACTCCACCCTCAGCATTGGCAAAAGCAGATATTTGCTCTGCAATGCCTTCACGTTGTGACCGGTTATTGGAATCTAACAACGTTTTTGACGTGAAATGTTTGAACTGAATATGTTTGGACTCCTTCAAGTCCAGTATAATTTCCTTCTGTGTAAAAACTTCAGGTACCTCTGGAAGCTCTGTCAATGGAACTGTAACATTTGGAGGCTTTGGTCTTCTGTCCTGCCGAGCTCCCTTAAGTAAATCAACAGTTTGATGATATGATGCTTCCATTACACTGGAATCGCCTGGTAGACTCAAATTGTACTTGATCGTACAAATATGTGGTGGAGCATTGATGAACAGCAATATTTCATCTGACTGTTCACATCGATCAAAAATGTCATCATACCTTGAAGGTTTCACCAAAGATATCAACTTTGGTTCTATCTTCTTCCAGAACTGGTCCAGGGAATTTGCACTGGTTGTCGAACTTTGGAAGTCAGTAATTTTCATCACCAACAGTCCTCCACCAGAATTGAGGAGTGCACAAGCCTGCTCAAGAATACGTTCTTCATCTTCAGCATTAAGGCCTTCTTTTTTCTTATTTTTCTCTTTCTTTTTCTGCCCGCCTGCATCTTTTCCAATTGCGATAGGGCAATATTGCACATTTTCAGCAAAATGCCTGTAGATTTTGTTGAAATAAAGGCTTCAATTAGGAAATACACTTCAATTTACAGACTGAGAAAAATCAATGACAAATTTAAGATTTGCATTGTGGGCTGCATTTACACTTAGTCAAAAACAATTGAAAGGCCACGGGTAAGAACGTCCCCTAGATTTTTTGGCCATTTTGAAAGTGCTCAAAAATAACTGAATTTTGGCATGTGGGCTTCGCTTTACCTGAGAAACATTACTCTGAAGTTTTTTTTTTGCTGGGGTGCTCTTCGTTCTCGAGAAATAATGTATGCAAAAACACTCAGTTTTCCAAGCAGCATCCTTTGGAGATCTTTTGNGTTCTCCTAAATTTTCACTTGTGTTTCTATAACTCGATAGAAACACGGCACATGTTTTCTATTTCTTAAATAATAGGCTTGTGAAGTCTGAAAACCAAATGTGTGAAAACAAAAATGACAAATTCACCATAATAAAATGACTAACTGTTACCAGACAAAATAAGTACATAACTACACCCAAGTTTGAACCAACATTTATTCTTACCTTATTTGATTTGCAATCCCCTCATTTTCACAAACACAGAGAATTTCTGACTTGTCCAGTTTCTCACGGCGATGAAGCTCCCTCATAAATTCCACCGCCACAAGGGTCTTGCCCGTTCCAGCAACGCCCTTGATCCACAACTCTCTGTTGACTTCGATCTGCTGGTGCACTAACTGGAACTGTTCCCTGGTCAGGAGGTTCATAATACTCACACCCAATTTGTTAGAAAGAGTTGATGGCACTGAAGCTAGAATGATAACCATTGACTTCAGCACTTCATTAAGCTTTTCCCGGGAAGATTTCAGATCATATCCTTTGGGGTACCGGCAATCACACGATTCTAGTTCTATGACTGATTCCTCCATACAAGAAACCACATGAGACGAAATATAGAACTTCTCTCTGCAGGCGCCGTCTTTTACCAGGCTTATCTTTATGGATCGGGCAGCTTCTCTGCTGTATTCCAGATATTCCAGCAATCTGTCATCAGTAGCACTATCACAGAGGGTGAACAGGTGAAGTCCACCCATGTTTCTGCTGATCAGGAGAAGATCACAAATGACGCCCTCCATGGGGGTACCTCCCGTGTTCCCAAGCCAGGAACGGGAAGCAACCAGTAATCCTCGATTACGATCCCCAGAACACTTCTTCTGGATCTTTTGAATGACTGACTGAGCTTCTGTTGAGAGGGTTGATCCAAAGCCTTCTGGAAAAACTGGGAATCCCACTCCACCTAGAAATTCAATATCAAAAGACACGTAGATGAAAATTGAAAGCCGAAAGTACCAATAATATGTTAAACAACCCGTAGCTTCATGTGGAGTACAGTTTGCACTTTCTTGTTGATTTTCTCTTTGTCACAAATGATATCACTCTCTAGAATGACACACTTTTTCTTTGGAATTTTCTCATTAACAAATTAAGGACGTCTTCTCTCAATCTTCTCTTTCACTGTTCCAAACTTTTGAGGTGGCTTCATCAGATTCTTGAGAAATGATACTGTTCAACTAATCAATCCAACTAAAACTTGAACGTCACTGGTACGCTAGAGAAAGATGAAAGTTTCAAATGACATGTGTTTCACCAAGATCTGAGTTACCAGGGCAACAGTATGATGTAATACCCCATTTTATATGAGACTGAATATCTTATCATTAAAGGATAATTTTGGATATATGACGTCAAGATCAAGGACCTAACATAGATGTCTAAACAAAGGCAAAAGTGTTCAAAAAATTATGAGCATTTCCAAGAAAATGGCGGGTGAAGTTTCAAGGCATCAAAATAGACCAAAAACAACACTGCTTTAAAATGTGATTGCAAACTACGTATGGCCAAAAGACTTGACTAAAGGGTACTTTGGCCTTAAATTAATTGTATAACATCTAATTACCTCGAGTGACTGAAAATCCTGGAGAAATCACCGATCAATTTTCAGAAACATTGGCTTGCATATCAACTGGTTTGCGGTGTTATTTTGCATTTTATCACAAATTAACCCTTCAATATTATAGGTCTTATAGATTATTAAGGTTGTTTGAAACAGTTTCCAGTACTTTCCAAGACTTAGATTTTGATGGGTCATTTAAAACCAATCTATAGTGGTAGATGCCAAAATCATGGTGTCGAAACCCTGCCTAATCATTGGTGAACATCTTGCGTCAATTTTGTGGCACAATAGGTTACCATAGCAACAATACGGCCTGCTAAAACAGAGTTTTCAAATTTAGATCAGCGCAAGTCAGCGGCTACTTAGCCTGCAGTACAGGCGGATTAGCGGGCTCTAGCGCGATACACGAGCGCGCAGCGCGAGGCAAGAAAAATCCGCCTGTTGTCACACCATTGTTTATGCTCTACCGCCCCCTTGAAATGATTGGTATGAAAGAATGAGAGAGAACAAAGCAATTCAATTTACTGGCGTGAAAAAAATGTCTCAAATAACCAATTTACATTTGTAAAACAGTTGACGCAAAACGCAAAATGACGCAAAACAGTCAACAGACGTGAACATCTAAATTTCGCTAAATTTAAATCTTGTGTCAAAACGAACAAAAGGGGTATATACCTAAACATCGAGCTCGGGAGACAAAAAGCTCGAACAAATTCAGGATGGAAGAAACATAACTTTGACGACACAGAACG